GGTGGTGTACAACATACGTTCGGGCACCGGCTAATGCTTTATCGCAATTCTGTCTTTTAATCATAGAAATCATCTCTGGGGCAGCCTTGCCCTCATCCTTCAGTCTAGAGACCTGGATCGCAGCCAAGGTGCCATACGCCGCATCAGTCGTGGCATCGGCAAGCTTCTTCTGCACAAGCTGGTACTTGGCAAGCGGGTTGCCTTTAAACTGCTTTCGCTCCAGAGCATAGGAGCGCGCTCGGTCAATGCAGTCCTCCAGCGCACCCATAGTACCAAACGCAATGCCCAATCTTGCGCTGTTCAGACACGTAAATGGGCCCCTCAGGCCTTCGACGTCCGGGAACATGTTCGCTTCCGGGACGGGACAGGAGTCCATCTGAATCATGCCAGTGATGGAAGCGCGGAGAGCGGTCTTGTTTTTGATCGCGGGGGTCTCGAACGTGCCTGGCGGGCATTGGTCGCGCTCAATGATGAATCCCTTGATCTTGCCAGTTGTTTCGAGTTTAGCCCACACGAGAAAGTAGTCGGAGATGGGGGAATTCGTGATCCATGTTTTCGATCCGGAAATGGAGTAGTATCCTTTTTTGGTCGGGTGGGGTTTGGCGACCGTCTCCATGGAGCCTGGGTCGGATCCGTGGTTTGGCTCGGTCAATCCGAAGCAGCCAAGTTTCTTTCCCTTGGCAAGCTCGGGGAGGTATTTGTCTTTCTGCTCTGGGGTGCCAAATTCGTAGATACCCGTCATGATCAGAGAGCTTTGCACGGACATGCCGGATCGATACCCCGAGTCAATTCTCTCGACTTCCTTGGTGATGAGGCCGGAGGCGACAGTACTGACACCCGCACATCCGTATCCCTCAATTGTAGCACCTAGAAGTCCTAGCTCACCCATCTCCCGGATTATCTTCTTGTCGTAGTTCTCATTCCGGTATGCCTCTGTTCATGTGTATTTATTAATGTTAGGTGGTCAAATCCATTCCTACCCGTCGTGTACGTTGTACAGGAGAGACAGCAAATCACAAACCGAGAATTCTGGGTGCCAGCTGCTCCTGGCAGTATTGCCTTGCGGTGTCTTGAATAGCCAATTCGTCCTCCGTAAATAAATTTGACGCAGCCAAAGGGTCTTCCCAGTTAAATCCAGCAGTGGCGTGTGCGTATCGTCGGCCGAGATTGCCGGAAATCGGGCGCTTTACAGCACGGAGGCTGCAGAAGGCTCGTCGAATGGCTAATGGATGCATCTTCTGTTGTGTACGAACAGCTGAATCGAGGAGATCGAAGGATTGTCAGGGGTTCTGGAGAGTAACCCTGTCAGTCGCAAATCATCGGCCGACAGGGAGCAGCTAATGGCTGCATGGGTAAAGTTACATACCGCAAAAGACTGGGGATTTTGCTGCACAGCGTAGTCACGCACTTTAAATGCCAGCAAGGGGCAATATGGGTCAGCCAAATCCACTGATACGCAGGATATAAAAGTGAAGGGAAACTATCACGGTGCCTGTGTGGTAGCCGTATGCCGTGGAGTGCGACAAGGGGAAATGGACTTCAAAAATCCAATCAAATACTCACAGCCAAAGAATCAACAAGTTGATGTACATATGAGTGTTGGTTACTAGATACAAGCCCAATTTATTTAACTTGCAAATGGGGTTGCGAGGAAGATGGATCCCATTCAAAGTATAAAGTTGCAGTTGGGGATCATTTTTTGGGGCGGAGGAAGAACGCGCCGAGGCTACAGTTTCGGGTATTTGTAATACACCGTCCTGGTGGCATTTCGCATACAAGATGACAATACGGCTGCCCCTGCGGCGTATGAAAATGTATTGCCTCTCGATGCGGGACCAAAGAAATCGCCGACCACCAAGACTTTGCCCGTCCGAGTCTCGTGACTTCGGGCCGAGAGCCGGGCCGAGAGCAGTGCCGAGTTCCAACTTTCAAGGGGTTTTTATCAGCAATTAATGATCGAAGCGCATTAACTAACAACGCAGTCTAGCGACGCTTGCATAACATGCATGGGCAGGGTGTGGTCTTGATGGATAGGAAGGCCTTGCATAAGCCTTGCAAGGCAAGGTGCTTGCTGTTATGGACTATATTCTGCCATATTTACTATAGTTTACCATGATTGGCGGGTGTGCGCAATCTCAGTAGTGCCGAGCGTCCAGGATGAAAATGCTCCTCTGCGGAGATCCAAATGCCACGGATTTTATCGGCAACATCCCGCTCTGGATGGAAGCAAAATCCGGCTATATGGACGCAATCAGGATCCTGCTGGATGACCAGCGTATATCTCCCAACATTGAATCATCCTATGGATAACAGCGCTCGGGGCAGCCGCACTCAGAGGTCGTAAGGATGCAGATAATCTTCTTTTGGACTAAAACTGTGTCAGTGCGGATATCAGAAGCTCTCATGGTTGCACGGCACTCTCGTTTGCCGCTGAGAGAGGAGACGAAGACGCCATAAGATGGCTTCTTGCCGGGGGCGATGTGGATCCGTTGTCAAAAATAACGAGGGCAGGACGCCCCTCGAATAATGCGTCAATCGACTTCAGCCCTAAACGGCTGCGCCGGTATGAACTGTCTGAGGAGAGAAAAGCTGTGATAGAAATGTCACAAGCTATAACAACGCAAGTCAGTAATATCTTTATGAAACACTGATTTTCAGGTGCATTAAGGATGCAACACGAAACTTTCTTTTCCCAGGGTCAATCAATGCGCTGGCGGAACAGAATTGTGGGACAAGCTCGGGTAACTAGTCTGACAAATCCCTCAGAAGTGGCATTTGATGAGGTCCAATCACCGCGTTTTAAGCCACTAACAACCCAGTTTCATAACTCCTGTCCAAAAATTGATCTTGTTTGGGGTCTTCAAAATCCCAAAATCTTTGCATATATAGACAATTTAACCCGAGAGGAGATCCCGTTCCCAGAATTGCACAATTACAGAAACGGATAATTTCGCTCTTTAGCCGTGGACTTTGTCGGCAGCCCTAAGTCGGCAGCCCTAACTAGTTACAGTTTGCTCCCATCCTCTTCTTGACAAACCGCCACCTAACTCCAAGCATGTCAACCCATCCGTCTCCCGACAGGACGTTGAGCTCTCTAGCTCTATCGAATGTTTCTTTTAGCCTTTCCTCCCCCTGCACAGCTATGGTAATATCCATGAGTCCCGCGCTTTGTCCTTCCATGCCAGGTAAGAAGCGCATACTCACATTCGTGAATTGCACGTAATCACGACTTCCTGCGATTCCAAATGTTGCCTTCCATTGATCCAACGTGGAGTCTATATCCTCATCCCCAGGTGCCAGACGACAGGTCACCCCAGCAAGATAGAGATCGGCCATATTATTCATCCCCTTTGAGTATGAGCTGTAGTCCTTGCCACAGGCATGCCAGGGTGAGAACCGAGATGTAACCGGCGTCGGGTTTGCTGGTGTGGCTTCGTGCGAGTCAAGCTCCGGTATCACGCCACCTTTCTGTATCAAAAGCATATGAGTAGAGTATTCAACAGGAGCATTTTTATCCAGTGGACACAAGGCTCGATGTCAAATCGCACCTCTGATTCCCTTGGGATGATAATGGATGCATACACTATCCTCGTGTTCATGCATATATATGACTTTACCCAGATCCCCTGACTCGACATGAGCACGCTGCTGTCTGGCGTCCTCTGTCTGCATTATGATCATGTAGCCACCATTGCTCCTCTTTGAAAGAAGTCTGCCTGCTGTTGTGTTGGGCTTCGTGGGTGAAATTATTTGCGAGCATCGAGGAGAGAACTTCATCCAAGTATTTTGGTCACAGAATGGCGTTCATACACTGTTAAAGAACTAAAAGGTAAAAATAACATTAAATCTCGTATTCATCAACCACCCAATGTCTCAAGAATTCGGGTGGTTCACTTGGTATAACTTTTAGCTTCTATTCTGGGCCCCCACCAATTACAAGCAAAGGCTGGCCAATCGCTCATTTTAATTGGTGAGATAAATTAACCTTAATTAAAATAAGGTTACTCCCGCCTTCCCCGTGAGCTTATTTCCTTCACAAAACAAATCTTAGCTGACACAAACCCCGTTCGCAAACAGACAATCCTCTTCCAAAACCCTAACATTGTTGTTGAATCGATGGAGTAGTCTCAACATATGGATTATCTGGCTCCATCAAAACCAGCAAAACTAGTTCCTAAATTTGGTGTCCTGAGGGCGAATGACGGCATCGGACACAACTTCCTTCGATCGATCCCGGCATAACTACCGCTGAGCGAGTCATTGAGGAAACTATGTAGAAAGCGCGGCATCCACTGATTGCATTGCAGGTTCCACACAACTTCTTGCAAACATTGTCGATTTCTACGGTGCTAGAAGGTCGTTAGTATCCATATTCCGTGATCTCTGGGAAATTGGGGGACGGTTGCCTCTGTGAATAAAGGCTATCTCTACTTCAGATGCATTAAACTAGACAAATGTATGATATCCAAGAGCCAACCCGAAATGTCTTTGATTGGATCTGGGCATACAGCGATACTTCAATATTGACTAACGGAAATATTTAACTGTCGTCAAAGATCCAAATACAAATACAACACCATTGGAAAATTCGGAATGAATGAGTAACCCATTGATAGACTTGATATGGGATGGATAAATGACAACCTGACCCTAGGCGGGCAAATTTTCCGAAAACATCAGAGAGGATTGTGGGCGTCAACGACGAATTCACAGCATCTCATCACCCTTCACTGAACATCTCTCGACCTTTACACTATCTAACATTCTTTTACGGTTCCCGCTCTTTCTCAAGGTCACACATAACCAAGCCACCACCGACAGTCAACCTCACACTTCCTCAGGCGTACAGACGGGACAAAACTACCCCTTTCCCTGTAAGAAAATAAAGAAGAAAAAGATATTCCCATATCAAGCCCAGACTCCGAGTTTCGTTCCTCGCAGTCTACCAGCGAAGCCGAAGGAGATTGGCATGAAGCGGCCGCGTATTAGATGGCAATCGTCCTTTGAAGGCTACCACGAGTGTTTGTTGCTCTCTGAAACTACTCTATGAAGTTTCAAAATACAGAACAAACGGCGAAGGTAAGAAAAGAATGCAGGCAGTCTTACGGAAAAAGGCAGACGGGGTCAAGGACAACTGAGAGTCTTGCGAAAATCCCCCCTTGGTTGTATCTGGCTGCGTAATTCTGGAGGCACCTCAGCATGTCGCAAGAGGCCTTATTTCTAGTCGTGCCACGGTCAAATCCGTTAAGAAGGCCGACGCTGCACTGAAACATATCAGTGGCCTCTTGGTTATTTGCGTGGGCGGAGATATCGGCACAGATTCCCTTAGTTTGCTGGGCAAAGTCAACTGCGGCAGGGAGGCAATGAGGGCAGTGGAAAGCTTCATGTTGGCTTTTCTTGGTTGATGAAAATTGGATTCAAGAAAGAGTTCTGGGAATTCAGAATAGATATAATGGCTTGAACGTGATCTTCGGATGGTTCTTATGGGGAAATAGGGCTACTTATATTTGTGCTGGCGCAGGTCTTTGTCTTCTTTCTTCTCCATCTCTGTAGAGCCATCCACTTCTACCCAATATTTTCATGAAGGTGGTCCTTCCTCTTCAATCAAGGTTCTCATTTAGTGATGTTGATTCTTTTTCTTCAACTCCAGTTTTGGTATATTCCCACCTATCAGCCCCTCGTCCGCCCTTCCAACGGCTTCTAAATCTTTGGGATATCTATTCGACATACATGTCTATCATGCCACCTCCAATGCGAAGTGGAGGCTACTTTTTGAATCTCCGCTCAATTTTGGAAACAATTCCTTTCTGCAGTCGGGTTTGGTCGCCCCATATTTCCATTAGTGTGGATTGCTGCAGATCAGACTTGCCAGCTACTACATGCCTGTGTATATCGAGAGGGACACTGTCATGGGACGAGATAGGCCATAGATGGCAATATTTTGATGCCAAAGTCGAGGCGTTCCCCAAAAGGAGCCTGCTGAGCTGGCTGATCGTTTTAGCATGTGTCACAGAACAGCACACATGCAGGAAAGTGAGGCCGGAATTTGGCCCAGATTGAAGACAACAAGTCATCTCCCCAACGGAGTTCTGACTTTGAGCCTCTTGGTAAGTTACCAAAGCTTACCTTGATGGAGATAGTTCCTGCTATACATGTGCGCAGATGGAAGCGGGTAGGTTTTATTTTTGGCATCTATGAAGTCCTTATGCGCACCTTGTAGGTACAAAAAGGATTCTAGACCCATTCCACTATCACCTCTCAGTTAGATATTACAAGGCAATGGCAAAAGGCAAAAAGCCAGTACTCCACCAAGCTCTGCTCCAAAATCGCCACACTAGACTTGTTCGTCTTTTGCGGGTATCTAAATGTAGATCCTTAATGGTCTCTTTTGAATTGGGCCATGAACAACCAGTTTTGATCTTTTAATGAGATTTTGGTTTTAATGATGATTCCTGCAAGGTTAACTGCGAGATGTCTTCTCCTCACAAATAACATCAGAAGAATGGGTGATTTTCACCTCCCGTCAAACCAAGGTATGTGGATAAATGGAGTAGCGTTTAAAGTAACTTCCAAACCATGCATTGCGTCCTTCAGCCCGCCGCAACTGAGAATCCAGAAAAGTGATTTTTCATATTGTTTTGCAGCTGAGTTTCCCATCATCATTTTTGTCGTCATATAATTGATGAGCGATTCTCTGCCCTTTGCGATGTTAATTAATTTCCGATTCCGTGCAACAATCTCGCGCAGGATCTTAACACTCAGCAGAATCTCTTATCAATAATTTGCGGTTCCAAATGAAAGAATGAACATGCACAGCGAAGGTTGACACATCTCATAGAACGCAACTTCCACATTTCCAAAACTCTCAGCAACGACAGCACAAGTTTCTGATGTATGAGAATTAGGACTTCTTAGTCTCTTGTTGAATCGGAACATTGAAAAAGCTCAGCTAGCCCAAAGGCTGTGCAATCCGCATGATGTTTGGGGAGAATCTGCAGTATCTAAACAATCGATGCCTGGCTCGGCCCATTTTGCAATTTCGTCGCCTGCACGCAACGCATTTTTTGCGGGACCCGTTTTTCGGCAAGCATGCTGCTGCGAGACAAACAAAGCCAGAGGAAATCTCCACGATATACTGCACATCAGTACCACAAATGCTCCAGCCGCAGTTTGATCTTATCGCTGATGACATGGGAAAAGGACGACCTATACTGTCAATCATGGATCTTAAGGATGGCGAACGCATGGTGCAGAGACTATCCCCTCACATGTGAGTTTGGATAACCGTTTCACACACTAGAGCAATCGTGCAAATTCGTCTGGGCAGAAGAACCATTTGCGTTTAAACTTTAACCCAAAGCCAATTGACTTCAAGTCAGAGGGATGATCTCCGTCTGCATGGATGGAATATTTCAGTTGCATCCCATTGGCATGGTTTGACCTCATCCTCTGCAATCTTCTGCCAAAGAGAACTTGGACAAGATTTCAAGCAATTCTTCGCTATAACTATAGAAGTCACGTGGCTGATTAGGGCTCAAGGCTAAGCTGGAAACGGCATAGCACTTAAAGTTGGTTCCAAACACCGCGTCAGAAATGCGCTAAACCTAATTAGGCAATATGAGATCACGCAGTCACGTGATTTAAACGCGGTTGTTGGCTCCGACTTCGTCCAATGTCATCATCAGGCAAGGGTATTCATATATCAGTTTCTATTCCACAACGTCTCGAAATTCACTATCCTCCTCTGTGCGCAGTGTACATGCCTTAATTGTTTTGGTTCTGCACATGAAACTGCTTTAGTGTGCTTAAATCCCAACCTGTTCACCCACAGTCGCAGAAGGGAGGAAGGGCTCCGTTCTTAAAGGAAAACGGATACACGGACCACACACGAGTGCGCTGCTGAAGATGGGAATTAAACGCAAGTTCACTCTCAATGCTTTCCCAATTGTCTTACAAATGCCAATGGAACTGCTTATCATGACGTGGCGCACGAAAACTTTCTGACCTTCGCCTGCATCCTTGATAGATCTATTCCAAATCATTCAGGAAAATGCCCCTGATGCAGTCAAAGCTGGTGAAATCAAAAATCATTTTGGCCGGAAGGTGGCGATTGTATGTGGATTCTATTCTATGTCTTGGAGGGGAAATTACTGGTTACTTCCACATCTGCTGGCTTTTGAACAAAGCTGACAATTGACGTTTATTCCTTTGCTAGGATGCGTATGTAATAACTATATTATTTTTTTACTTCAAGACCAAGATAACTCCTTGTCCCAGGTGTGTTACGGTTTACGGATAACCAGCTAAGGGTTTTCAAACAGCTCCATGAGTATTTACAGCTTCCTCGTCGCCGTCCGCTCAGATGGCCAACAGCTCATGAGTGAGACGGGTGAGACAACCTCACATCTAATGGGCATGTTCTACCGCACACTTCGCATCGTTGACAATGGAATCAAACCCGTTTACGTATTCGACGGTGCGCCTCCAAAGCTCAAATCCGGAGAGCTAGCGAAACGATTTATGCGCAAGTCTGAAGCAGCAGAAGCCCATGAGGAGGCGAAGGAAATCGGCACTGCAGAAGATGTGGAAAAGTTCTCAAGGCGTACGGTCAGGGTGACGCGCGAACATAATGAGGAGTGTAAAAAGTTGCTCAAACTTATGGGTATACCGTACATCGACGCCCCCACCGAGGCAGAGGCGCAATGTGCGGTTCTCGCAAGGGCGGGAAAGGTTTACGCGGCTGCGTCAGAGGATATGGATACGTTATGCTTTGATTCGCCAATCTTGCTGCGACATCTTACATTCAGTGAACAACGGAAAGAACCAATCTTGGAAATACATCTGGATCGTGTGCTGGAGGGTCTAGATATGGATAGGAAGCAAGTAAGTTGGTACCGGCAAAACCTAATCATTGCACTCTCCTTTCTTTCTTCCTTTCTTCCTTTCTTTCTTTTTCTCTCTCGGCTAATAGCCCACCCATTCAGTTCGTCGACCTCTGCATACTTCTTGGCTGTGACTACCTCGATCCCATCCCCAAAATCGGCCCTAACACCGCGCTAAAATTGATCCGCGATCACGGCTCCTTAGAAAAAGTCGTGGAGGCCATCGAATCCGACCCGAAGAAGAAATACGTCATCCCCGAAGACTGGCCATATAAGGATGCTCGGGAACTCTTCTTCGACCCTGATGTTCGCAAAGCAGACCACCCGGACTGCGACTTCAAATGGGAGGCACCCGATGTCGAAGGTCTGGTAAAATTTCTGGTTGAAGAGAAGGCATTCAGCGAAGATCGAGTACGGAACGCTGCGGCACGGTTACAGAAAAATCTGAAAACAGCACAGCAATCTCGACTCGAAGGGTTTTTCAAACCGATTGCCAAGACCCAGGAAGAAAAAGCGACTTTGAAGCGCAAGCATGAGGAAAAAATAGAATTGCAGAAGAAAAGAAAGAAAGAGGAGGCCAAGGCGAAAAAGGAATCGAAATCTAAACCTAGAGGGACTGCGTGATCAACTTTGCAGGGTTAATTCTATTTTCTCTTCAGCGTGTTTGTTTCGAGGTTGTAATCTAGCGGAGTAATCCTTTTTGTGGCGTTAGGAGGCACCAAATACCAATTGTTTGGATATAAGATTATCATTCATTCTTGGGCGAAACACTGTCGTTTCCTAGACAATATATTAATCAGTCGTCGTCGAAGCCGGATATTTGGGGGTGTGTTTTTTCAAAAACTGCTGCTAAGTCTTTCAGAAAGATCCTAACCGATGTGACTGGCTTGGCATTTCCCCGCAAAACGATCCCGAACATCCAAAGGAGGACCACGATAAAGATTCAACTCGAATAGAGAGCCCTGCCAGTTGCTGCTCTTTTCCAACAAACACATATTCAAAAGCTAGCACCTAATAAGCGATTTGGCTCCGTAAGGGTGATCTATGTGCGCCTGTCTATTTCCCTGATGAACCGCCAAACCAGAAAGAATGCTGGAAGTCAAACGCGTCGGTTATGCATAACCGACAATTTTCACGTATGGATCGGCCGGCTATTATTAAGTGCTCGTCCTGCGAGCTGTCTGAGGGGCTGTGGCGGCTAAACATTGGAGTGGCTTTCTTTCTCCGCGTTTTGTTAGACAACCTCGGTCCTGGCTAATTCTCATTGATTAGTTAGGCATTGGTTGTCTCCTGCAGATCACCAGCTGCCTCAAATATGGTGTTACGAAACTATATATTCCAGAGTGCATAGCTCGGGAAAACAAGGGGCTCTTGGTGATTTTGATAATATCTGGAGATTGCGACTGCGTTGTCTTTTCTCGAGTTTAAGAGAGATCTGTGTGTTCGCTTGTTCGCATATTGAGGTCTTATCTCTACCGTCCTTGTCTACCGAAGCTGTCAGTTTTCAACCGTTCTCAACATGCCGCAGAAGATCTACTATCACGACGGGCCGGACAAGTTTGTCGACGTGCCCAAATACGACCTTCTCACCTTTCTATTTGGTAATCTCCCATTCCCAAAGCCTCCCCTCCCAGGGTTATTTGTGTTGATATATCTCCTGCTTCTTATACCCTGACCACCGCAAAAGAATCCGAACATGGCCTAGCAGTAGACGAGACCGCCCTTCATTTGGCCGCAGACAATCCCTCCCAGGTACTCACCAAGAAAGATCTCCGCGATCTCACGGAGCGCGTTGCCTATGGCCTACGCACCAACTATGGCATCGGTGCAAACGGACCCAACACGGATGTAGTAACCGTCGTTAGCTATGGACATCCTTTTGTACCCGCTGCCTTCTACGGTACCATTGCTGCTGGTGGAGTATACTCTGCAGCCAGCCCGTCCTCGACAGTTGCAGACCTAGCTCGACAGGTTACTGTTGGCAATAGCCGTTTGATAATCTGCGGGAAAGAGATGAAGGAGGTCGCCTCTCAGGCAGCCAAACAGTGCAACCTACCACTCGACCGAGTTCTGGTGTTGGAATCGGATCCTGCTTTTAAGTTCTGCTCTCTTGAGGGCAATGTTAATGTGATTTCCGAAGGGAAATTGACATGGCAGCGAATCACAGATCCGGCGGCGTTGACAAAGAGTCTCATCGTGATTCTGTGGTCGTCTGGGACAACTGGGCTTCCCAAAGGTACGAATTTCAGCATACCTGAAAACGCAGTCAAATGGTGCATGGGTATTAGAATTTGCTGACGTTATGAAACATCAGGCGTCATGATTTCTCACGAGAACTTGGTTGCCGAGGCCTACATACCGAGCCTCTCAGGGCGTAAATGGGCAGCGAAAGAGATTGAAGCGGGCAGAGAACTTCCTGGTATCCGCACATTAGCTCACTTGCCCATCAGTCACATCGCAGGTTTGTTCGGCTATCTAGTCGGTCCTCTTTACGCCGGCGGTCTCGTGATTTGGATGGGTAAATACGAGTGGAAGAAGTTGCTGGCTCTCGCCAAACTATATGAAATCACAACCTTTTACACCGTCCCTTCTATTTTCCTACGCATCTCGAAATCTCCTGATGTCACGGACCAATTTAAGCACATCACCAACGCTGTAACTGGAGCGGCGCCCATGGATGCAGAGCTGCAGGTTGCTGCAAGTAAAAAGGTGGGAGATGGCAGCAAGACCTTAATTGGCCAGACGTGGGGGTTGAGTGAAACGACCGGTTCAATTACAATGATGCCGAAAGGGGTGTATGACGACACTGGCTGTGTTGGATATATTCTACCAAATGTTGAGCTGCGGTAAGAGTTTGTGATGATTGCCCCCATCTGATAAATTTGTCATTCCATTTCCGAGATCTAAAAATTCTGTCTGTGCTTCCAGGATGGTCGATGATGACTTCAACGACGTCGAGACGGGACAACCAGGCGAGCTCTTGGTTCGCGCCCCGATGGTGACACAGGGTTATTACAACAACCCTCAAGCAACGAAAGACGCTTTCCATGACGGCTGGTTTTGCACTGGTGACATTGGCGTCGTAAGAAATGGGAAATTCTACGTCGTGGACAGGAAGAAGGTAGTTCTGTTTAACTTTTTTCCCTTTCTCTCCGCCCCCACCTTCTCCAATACGATTGCGGTCTTCTAAATAAACCTAGAGTCTAATATTTCCCCTCCAGGAACTCCTAAAATACAAAGGCCTGCAGGTCGCTCCGGCCGAAATCGAGGGCCTCCTGGATACCCACCCGGAGATCAAGGAGGCCGCCGTCTGCGGCATCCCCAGTCCGGACGACCCGGGTTCGGACATTCCGCGTGCATACATCGTCGCTGACCCGACCCGAATCAGTGAGCAGGAGGTTAAGCAGTTCGTCAAGGATCGACTGGCGCCGTACAAGCAGTTGCGCGGGGGTGTGGTGTTTGTGGATGAGCTACCCAAAAATGCCGTTGGTAAGCTGTTGCGAAGGGAGTTGAAAGAGCGGGCGAAGCAGGAATTGGGATTGAATACAAATGGGGGTGCGAAGCTGTGATTGGACTGTCTACCTCGGAATTTTTGCTTCTTGGGGCCTTTTATCTCATTTTTTGACTTTAATTTGACCATCCGTGGTTTCAGGAATTTTGCCGGGGATGAGAATGATTTTTCTAGAGATATACTAAAACATATAGCTAAAATAGACCGATAAATCTATGTCAGCGTTTTGCATCAAACTGGCGACTTTTGCAATAGATAGATAATATTTCCAGGGAACTTTGTTGTGAACTTCCGAATTGTTACATCCATCCCGTTTTTCTCCAGGGCATTTTTAATATCGAACTCTTTCCCATCAGAAAAGCCACCAGCGACTTTCTTCATGTGGGATAGTTATTTACTGGATCCATACTCGCAAGTGAGATGAACCAGTTTGGTTTTCTGGATATATTGGGTAACTCTCCTTTACGATCCGGGTTTGACGTAACTACGGAAAAGAGGGCTTCGGCGTGGGATACCCGGTAAGAAATAGTTATCGGACCGACCTCTGGATTAAATAGAGAACTCTCCGGTCGGTCACTGTTTTCTTCGTCTTTCTTCTTCAGTTGATAACCTCGAAAGAGCTGCCGAGGCACGTCGCCAGCATATTGAGCACGGAATGCCCGGATAATTAACACCAAAGCCACTGAGTGGTAGTAGGTATGGAATGCCGCCATGGCTCAGCCCGCGTATATACACGGTAAAACTAACTCCAAGACCAACCAACTCGAGCAACAAGCGCTTCTCGTGAATACTTGGAAGTAGTTCCATCCACGCCCTGACAGGTCATGGCTGACAGCGGAGCCAGTTCACTTCTCCCCACATTCCCCAAGGTTCCAGTTAAGCAGTTCAATCTGCCGCTTAACGCTTGAGAATACCGAGGTTAAAGCCGTCAATTGTCTGTACGAGACATAGCCACCAAGCACAAGCCCGAGGGGCAAACATGTCTATCCTTAGCAGGCAGAGGATAACTACTAATACAACATGCTCGATCTCAAGGAAGCTCAGAATTCTACAAACTCGTTTTCACTTCCTGGTTCTTATGCCCTTCAAACCAAGAGCTCAACGACCAAGGTAGAAACTCTCCAAGATGTCCTCCCAAGCCGACCTAAGCGTCTCCAACCTCTTCTCCTTCAATAAACATGTAGCCCTGGTCACCGGGGGCGCCTCCGGGCTTGGAGAGATGGCCGCGCAAGCGTTGGTGCAAAACGGCGCCAGAGTCATTATCGCCAGTCGTAAGGAAGCCGAATTGAAGAAATGCACAGATCGGTTGAACAAACTCGGCCCGGGAACATGCGAGTACATCGTTGCTGATTTGAAGGATAAGGCCGGCTGCGATTACCTGGCTGCAGAGGTCCAGAAGAGGACAGACAAGCTAACAGTTTTATTAAACAATACCGGCGTTACATGGTGAGTGCACTCGGAGCGGAGGGGGGAGGAGGGAAGAGGGAAGAGGGAAGAGGGAAGAGGGAAGAGGGAAGATCTTCCATGTTGCCCAAACTGGCCATGTTCTAATCGGGGCATGAGGATATAACCAAATAGGGGTGCATCATATGAGGATTTCCCCGAAACTGCATGGGATAAAGTCATGGCATTGAATGTCAAATCCGTATTTTACTGTGAGTTTAACCCAAGAGTCGCATGAACCAACTAGTTATATTTGCCAGATCACTGACTCACAACAATAGTGACTGTCGGGTAAGCAGAGGTCCGCTGCAAGAAGTCCCCCCCCCCCCCCCCCTTCCGGCGTGTGGGATGTGAGACGACATGAACCTGACATTTACCAAAACACAGCGTCCTGCCTCTTCTCAAAAAGGCCGCCTCTCCCCACATGCCAAGCCGTGTGATTAATATCGCCTCAATGGCAGGAATCTCAACGCTTGACCCCACAGCCACAGGTAACGGAGGACTCTCCGCCCCGGGAACGGGTCCCTTCAGCTGTATGTGATGGTCCTCCTCATCCCTCTTTCTTGGACCCTCTCCGGTCTCGATAAGACCTCGTTCCTAACCATATCCCCTTTTTCTTCTCACAGACGGTCCATCAAAGGCAGCTTGTATCCACCTTTCCCGACAGCAGTCGTCAAAGTTCGCTCCGATGAACATCATGGTAAACTGCGTGTGCCCGTAAGCCAATCACCCATCTCCAACCAACCTTGCATGCATGCAACAAAGTATTTTTCAACACGAAAAATAATAATGATAATAATAATTCAGAATGCTTATTGACAATTTTGATGTGTAGTGGTGTCTTTCCCTCCCGCATGTCGAACTTTGGCATCGAGAAATACCTTGGTACGCTTTTACAGGCACAACCCACCGGCCGCGTCGGAAAGCCAGAGGACTTTGCTGGTCTGGTTCTGTTCCTTTGCAGCTATGGCGCCTCCCATTTGACCGGTAACGTTATTGAGCTGGATGGTGGAAGTAGCCGGAGTGGATGGAAAGGTGGTTCGAGAGAGAAGCTGTAAGGTTGAAGTTGTCTAGGGAGGCGGAGTGTAGATATGTGATCTGTGTTTGCGCTGCAAGTATTAGAAGGGCATTTCTCTATACCAGGTTTCTTTTATTACCTTTAGGTTCATTGACCATTGTGCACGAGTGTGTGCGTGTGTGCCAGTGTGTACATCGAAAAATATACAAGAATCACAGTGCAATATTACATGAAGGTTGCAATAGATCATCTAAGCTGTCAGTGAGGTCATCTCAAATACTTGCCTTGCCTGTTTCAGACCATCGCAGAATGAATAGTATACAAACTAAGTGCATCTCTCTAAATCCGTGCTGCTCACGTTCCTTTGGCCAGACCATAAAGACTCGTTCGCATGTTGGCTCAGTAGTTGATGAACTTCTGCCCGTCTCTGCTTCGATAATTGGCAAAGTCAACTCCCAACTTTTCTCGTGGAACTCCCGTGAGATGGCCCCTAGCCGTCCCCTGTTCCCACAACGTCCTGTTTAATTAGAACAGCAACAGTGGTGCATCGATCACAGCCACCAAAGACGGCGGGCAATGTAACTCCCACCTCTGATAACCCTAGTGACACCCATATCCCATAGTCAGCGGCAACGAAAATCCCCACGGGAGGAAAACCCCCAGAGTTGATCCAAACGTGGTCAGGAAAATGCACATGGCGACGTCGCACCCGTTGAAGACAGCGTCCATCGCGCCACCCATCCAGCCACAGATGCCTCGTTGAAGAGGACAGCCGTCAGCACATCCATGCTACCTCATGGACCGACGGTGCGAGCGTAACTAGGAAGATAAGAGGACGGTTAAGAAGACGCCCAGTGCCTCGATGACATTGCAAATCTCAAACAGGGCGAAAGTCGAAGTCAAGAGGAAATAAAAGTTCATGGGTGATTGTCCGGGACGTTCTAGGTATCGTAGCTAACAAGGATGTACAGAGTATTTATGTCCTCGCAGAGCAGATATAAAAAAGGGCGTATGACATAACTAGCAACGTTAACTTAACTAGCTGCCATTATTTTATTCTTTTAAGAGAACACAAGTTTTGGTTGAGTTTTGTGGCAAGGATAGCTAGTTATTGGACGGACGGAAATGTGTCGACGACGGGCGTGTCAGGTTTATTTACACTTCATTTCGTTTCGACAGTACGATCGCAGATTAGAGCTCGTTCGAGAGCCCGTCTGTTCTTGTTTAAAGACGCTTGATATTTAATTCCCGCACTTGTGAAAAGCGCCAGCTCTTTTGACTATTATTTCCGACGGAACTGATCCTCTCCAGGTATCAATATTTGCGGCCGAGGGACGGGGTGACCGAGCAGTGACCAAGCGGTTCCTACAAAACGTCTATCTCTTATGTGCTCGTCTCCCCTGTTCAGGCCTTATACCTGCCAGTATTCCGCCAAATAAAAAAAGTCGCGAAGCATGCAAAGTTGACAGTGCTTATGGCGACAGTTTACCGCGGTTCCGTGGAGGTAGTTATCCAGGCATACTGTCGAACACCTTGATATATTATTACATTTTGTTCCACTGACGTCGCACGGAAATAATGCTCTTAAAATTATACTTTTATACGCCACGATGCTCCGAATCCAAGGTCGCACGGCTCACTGAATACTCCGTTGTCTTGGTTATGTACTGCCCGCTGCTATCTGTTTCCAGAATTTGCTGCTGATCGTCCTCCATGCTGCGAGTATCAATTTGCGACGACTGACTCATATCCTTCATAATATAAGCTGTGTGATTCTGGGAATCGATCTCGGCAAAGTCGAAGCAGCCCCCCATTGAGGCGTGCGATCTAGAGCGCGAGCTGCGATCGCGGTATCGCTTCCTCGCCGAAGAATCCCCATTTCCATATCCGTAGGTGTTACCCGGTGTTGAAGAGCCACTCACAATACCGAACTTCCGCATAACTTTCTCGAATACCGACTTCAGAGCTGGTAATGATGCGGCGAAAAGACCCGCATTGAATTCGGCTCTGCAGTCATATCAATTAGAAACGTCGCTGGATAAGGGCATGAGGGACAAGCTCACTTCACCCAGAGCGTCAAATTAACGGCCGCATACGTTGGATCTGTAACATTCACGAGATTGGGCAGCTCTGTGGCTTTTGCAATAGCACATGCAGTGGCACTACGAAAGAGGTAAGCAGATCGTCCAACGGCAAGTGGTAAGCAAAATACAAATGCCCTACATCAAGCCGACTAAAAACACCCCTCGCAATGCCCATTTATTGTATAGGGAAACTTTGACTTTGGAGAGGTATACAAGAGGTCCAATCGAAAATGCCAAATCCGTGACAATATTGCCAACTTGGTATTATCAGCACAACACACACAAGGTACTAACTGTTTGGGTGATATTCCTCACCGGTTTGGATATAGGACATGACTAAATTAACCTTGGCAGGCCAGCACGTCCCGGGGATCCTTGGGTCTTTGTTCCAAATTTTCTTCATTGGCCGGCAGCCTCCAAAAGTTGTGGGGAGAACGGTCAAGTTAACGAGTAGACTGAGTACAATGCAGGCCGCGATTACTGTGTTGAAGAACCTGCTCAGATCGAGCCGGAGTAGCGAAGTGCCGAGTCCAACTTTCAAAAGTGCCATCGCAATACCGTTGCATAAAATCGAGAAAGTTGAACACTTCATCGCCTGGACCACGTCGGCAATGTCCAACCTCAAGAACGGCTTCCCGCTTCCATAGACAACTCCGGCAATAGTTAAGCCTTGTCCCGCAAGGCCTGACAGCTAGTGAAGATATCAGTCAATAGCCCTATAGTTCACGAAGTCGCTCAACGCGTACCATTGCGAGAAACAGGAACGTGTCATCCCATCCGAGTGTCCTGGCCGAAAGGTGTCGGACCACCAATCGAGCGCAAACGAACACAGCACCAAATATGGTCAAAGCCAGAGTCACCGCAAATATCTCTGGTCCACGGTCACGCTTGGAAGCCATGTCTGCAGTATCCATCTTTCACACAACGAAACCCCCGATTTTTCCAGTATTGGAGAAAATCGAGCAGGATTCCCCCCACCCTGAAATCACAAATGCTGTTCCAATCTGGAGATCAACCCTAATCATGAAACTTTTTCAGATCTTTGATATCGATTGAAACTTAGGCTGGCAAGCAAAACGCACATAGATATCAGGGTGAAACAATGGAGCAAACAATGGTCTGTATTGTATGAGGTCTGAAGGGTGAATAACAAGGGGCATGCAATATTTCGCCTCCGCAGACAGACCTCGAGAAGTTAACAACCATCACGGTAACCATGCTGTTTGGCTACAGTATGTGGAGAGGGTCCGTACGTGGAGCACCATACTGGGACTAATGCCCGAGGCAGAAACGACCCTTGACAGAAATTCAGGAGGTGACCTGCGGATAACCAATTTCCTTGCTAATGACTCTAGAACAATAAGAACAATGGACGACTCCCAGATCTCACTTTATCAGGTCAAACCCTTGCAGCGATATAGTTTCGACGGAGGGACTGGGCGTCGATATGACTGGTCCAAGTACCAATTTTCGACTCCAAATAATCATCAGTTGCAGCCAAAACCCTTGTCGCAAATCCACAGGCCAAGAGAGTTGCAACCTTTGATATGAACATCTCGTGGTGCATCAGAGTGGAGCTCTTTAATGTCGAGCTGGTTCAAAAAATCGCAACGCAGCGTGCCCCCTCAAACAACCGCCGGTAGACCAATAAAAATCCAATCTTGTGATACAAACACTTTGACTGAGGAAACAAGAATTGAACATTGAATGGTGTACAGAAGCCTCCAAGACAATTCTGGTTCAAAAATGTTTTTTGGTGAAGCGGGACTATTTGCGTTATGCATGGCGATTGTAGACCAGCGGGCGGAGTGAAATTACCGAGACACCTACCAACGCCTGGAGTGTGTGGATCGATCCATCGCTATACAATCAGCGGAGTGCATAGTTTTTCTTTTTTCCAAAAAACCATCTCAGTCCTCCAATCAGAGTTTGGATCTACTTCTGGACTCTCAGCGATAACGTCCCTGGATCTGAAATGTGCGCATACTTGGCTCGTTCTCCATAGAGGTAGGTGATGGTTGGATGTGAAATCCGGCTCCTCAAAGATCTACACTTGACTCGATCTTCTGAAGAAGGAACTCAATCAATGATCGATCACCTTAAATGTCATATAATACTAACCCAGGTTCCCGCATATCCGCAAACCAAATGCAAAGCTCACACACAAAGATCGGGGAAAGGGGACAGAGGATTCAAAAACTGGGCAACTATCATGCAGATTAGCGTGTAGGATTAGACGCTACTGGGAGATACGTTCTCACTTATTAAACTTCCTCGGAGCTGCCACTCCCGTAAGCCTGCCGTACTGCGGCCTCCTCGGTTAATCCAAAACTTTGGATTTCAATGTCTCCTCCGGGATATTTCCTTTGACTTTTGAATGGATGAAGTTCTCTTTTTAAAACGCGTAGGGGCCTTTTTGGGAGGCCTTTTTTGGCTTTTTGAACTGTAGCGGTGTCACATCCCAAATCTCTCACTAACATTCTTCCCACATGTTTTGCAGTTGTTCTCTTGCCCAGTCTGAGAAGTCCTTTATGGGGCTCTTGCTGCTGGATTCCTCGGCAGAGACTAAACTTTGCCCAATCGGACACTATGAAACCAAGCGTGCAGCTCGCATCCTTTGATGTTTGAACTTGAGGAACCGACCCGTATATACCCGGCAATCAAGGTCGACAACTATACGTTAGCGGCATTTTCGGTTTTTTATCTCAATTCTCCTTCCTCTGCCCCAGGCTCTTTCATACAAACCATGATGCTTTAAATGTGTTCAGCCACACTTCCTTCGCGAGACATTTCAGAGTGCGATGAGATTTCCTCTAAACGTGTGATATTTTGAGACCCACATTTTTAGATTTACGAAATAGGACTGACTCTCTTGCAAACCAGCAAGAGAGTAATCAAGAGGAAAGGTCCCCGCTTCTTTTAGAGACTTCGTCCCTTGATTAGCGAATAATGCCGAATTGAGTTTTGCGAGTCCACAAAAAACTTTCAAAGTTTGAAAGTTTATATGCCATTGGTCCCAAAGATTAGTCTCAGGGACCGACTCATCTAGGCAAGTCAGTAAGCTTCTTGGTCTTCAGGCACTGCGCGTGTACTTGGATTTTGGACTAAAGATAACCAGAGACACTCACTGAAGTGCGACTTTGTTCAGCAACAGATGTCAAATAAAGGGCCTTTGTTTTCATGTTTGTGCAATCTTTATTGCCAGAGTTCATGAACCAAACCCCCCCCCCCCCCCAAATTGAAAATGTTCGCATGGATGTCAAACTGTGGATAACAAAGTCTCGCGAAAAGTAACAGCATAATAAAATCCCAAGAGCAGGTTCCCCTTTGTTGAACGCTTCAAATTCTAGTTCCGTAGAACCTTTTCTGAAAAAAATCTGACAGCGCCTCCGCCGCAAGCCACATAGCTCGCCAAATTTTCCAAGTCTGAGTGTTGCGCCGGTCTGCTCGGCGCCAGTCCTAATTATGAATGGGGAGGGACCTCGGGAATACTTCAGAAACCTGGCCAGGCTCTGCCTATTCTTCCCTCTACCCATTCTAGAAAAATTTTACCAATAATCCGACAAACCGCTGTATCCATCCCATAACTTGCACTAAATAAAAACAATAACCTGTTCACAATCCATCAGGCAGGCCTCCTCAGAAAACTTAGGGAACACCGGGTGTCCAATTTTAGATATTTGGAAGTAGTCGTGCAAAACAACTTATCTTATCCGTATAGCCATAATGACATGAATATTAAACACTAGGGAGGTGACGGAGATGAAGTCAGTTTCTCATCATTTTCCACCATCTTGCTTGCTCAGGCCCATTCCCCCCCCCGGCTCTGAGTGTGGCTGCGCCATCAAACTCTGGCGGCTACCCTAATCTCCTCACTGCCGCCCATCGCAGCTATTGGATGCCCAGCGATCGCGACAAGGTTCGTTATCTGACCCTTCCCCGCAAAGAAGCATAGACAATGGCTCGTTATGCGCTTGAAAACATCCGCGATATCGGTACCGCTCGGCAGGAACTGCTTCCGTGCACAAAACAGGGCCCAGTACGAGAAGGCAACTGCACCCTCATTTAAGTGCTTATTGTAAAGCCAACCCAACTTCAGTCCCTAGTTATTTCCATGCCTAAAGCCAACGTCATTGGTGCTGCGAAACAATCACCCCCACTTCACTACCTACGTAGAGGCATAAGCAAATGAGATGGCGAATTTATCAGCAGGTAAAGCAGACGCTCCATCACCACAGAGGTGTAGTGGTCGGGTCTTCTGCTTCCTGACCACAGACCATATATGAATACGGTGTCATTTCTCTAGTTTTGCTCCACATCACTCAGTCGCTCTTTTAGATTCTCTTTTCGGTCGTTTTGTCAGATTTCGGCTCCTTGCTCCTTTTTTATCGAATGGTCTTGAACCATGTTGCATTCATTTATTCTCTCCAGAGCTTCTCGTAGTTTGTGTTGTGCCTTGCTCCTTTTTGCTTCCCTCGTGACGTCTTCGGCGGTGACGAATGGCCGCGGGAAATGGGAGAAACGTATTGAAAATGAGTATGATTACATCATTGTCGGAGGTGGATTAACGGGTCTCGTCGCTGCGCATCGGTTATCAGAGAATTCGCGTGGTGCGTTCACTTCCTTCAGGGTGTTGGATTTCCTTTTCGGCCAATCGACCAGTCTTCAAGAGGATAATGATATCGTAAGTGTCAACTGGGGCCGTTGAATCACTTGAAACTAAACTGCGCGCATGTGCCGAGTAGTATCCGTCCTCGTCCTCGAGTATGGAGTTATTGATCGAAGCGATGCCACCAAAATTCCATACATGGGCACTTTCTTGAATTTCCCAAATATGTTCAACATCACAACTGCTCCAGAGCCTGGTCTTGAAGGGAGAATCTATTCAATCAGAGCTGGCTCGGTTGTAGGTGGTGGAACAACCGTCAATGGTAAGTATAGCGTTCCTAAGCCGTACTCGTTGGCTAAAAGACATATGCTCCATCTAGGCATGACATACGACAGAGCATCAGCTGCCGATTACGACTCCTGGGAACAACTTGGGAATCGAGGCTGGGGATGGCAAGGTCTCCTTCCGTATTTCAAGAAGAGTGCACAGTTCACACCTCCGCCGCAGGAGGTCGTTGATGAATACGAGTACACCTATGATCAGTCCGCCTACGGTAGCCGCAGCCCGTTGAAGATTACGTACCCCCACTGGCAAGCCCCAGACCTCTATAAGATGTCCGATGCATTTACTGAGATGGGAATCCCCTTCCGCAATGAACACGCTAGCGGGGACGCGATCGGCAAGTTTTGGGCTCCCGCTTCCATCGACGCCAAAACCATGACGAGGTCGTCTTCGCTGACGGCTTACTATGACACTGCCAGCTCCCGCGATAACCTCAAGTTACTCACTGAGCATCAAGTCATCAGTCTCACTTTTAACGAAAACAGCAACATCGTATCAGGGGTAAAAGCTATTGACAGAAAAACAAATAAAGAGGAAACTTTCCGTGCTAAAAAGGAAGTCATTCTGGCCGCAGGAGCTATCCACACTCCTCAGCTGCTGCAACTGAGCGGCATTGGGCCCAAAGCAGTTGTAGAAGCCGCTGGCATCACTTCCAAGATTGACTTACCTGGTGTCGGAAGCAATTTCCAAGATCACCCGGTCGCTTACTTGAACTGGAGGGTTGCCAACAACTTCCCGGAGCCAAACGCCATAGCGATAAACGCCACCTTCGCTGGGGAAGCGCTGGAGCTATACAATAATCTCAAGACTGGCCCGTACACCAAGGCGCAGGCTAGCATGATTGCATTCCTAACCTTGTCCATGATCACCGACGACGTCGATGCTCTGATCAAGAGCCTGAATGAACAGAACTCAGCCACTTATCTTCCCACTGTGTACTCCAACAGCGCTCTTCTGGTCGGATTCGAAGCTCAGCGCAATATCCTCGCTAAGCAGCTTAAAGAAGGCTCCGTCGCAGCGATGGAGCTACCAATCTCGGGTTCAGGGTCGGTCCCCAACTCGATCCAAAAGCCTCTCAGCCGTGGAACAGTCCACCTCAACCCCGACAACCCTCGTGGCGAACCTATCGTAACGTAAGTTTTACCATTTCAAAATGGAAAGAAGAAGAGGAGGAGGAGGAGGAGGGTCAAGGCAAACCCAATCATAAGTCACTTGAACACTGAAAAACAATCTCCCACTCTAATAGATACCACGCCCTCAAAAACCCATTCGACCGCGCCCTAATAGCTACCTTCATCAACTTCACGCGCCGCTACTTCAAAACCACAGCCCTCGCCAGCCTGAAGCCCGAAGAAGTCTCGCCCGGCGTAGAGGCGCAAACAGAGGATGAAATCATCGCGAAACTCATTGCAGGCGGTCCACTGTCATTCGGCCCCTCGTTCGCGCATCCCAGCTGCAGTTGTCCCATGATGCCCCGGGCCAAGGGAGGCTGCGTTTCTGCGGATTTGTTGGTGTACGGAACGAAGAGGCTTAGCATCATCGACGCGTCCATCATGCCCATTATCCCCGCTGCTCATTTGCAGGCGAGCGTGTATGCCATTGCGGAGAAGGCGGCGGATATTATTAAGAGGAGAGGTTAGAGAATTGGTTAGGTGGGGACGGGCACCCCTCCTTTTCGGCATCATACCCCGACGGTGCCTGTATTCGACTTATTCTTTGCTTTTTATTGCGTTTTAACGTGTATTAATATAATCGTCATCTGTTCTTATTCGGTCGGTGGAGTAATACCAAACAATATAACCCACGTCGGTCGCTCTGGCGGTCATCGTATGGCTTAAATCCTGCTTCCTCCATTCAAAAGTCGTGCATATAGCCTTCAACATCAGACGTTAAAGCCGGGGAGGAAATAGTTCTCTAACTGCCAATTGACGTCAGTAACAAGAACCACACCCCCATGTATGAAAAACTTCTTCCTCCTTTTGTATACATCCCATCAGCGCGCTTCGAGAAAGCTTCCCAACATCATCACTCATATATCCATCCATGCCCCGGACGCGATTTCGGAACAAGCAGCATCAATCCGCCGTTTGTCCCAGCAGAAAAGTCCCTTCCTCCCAAACCCATCCCGGCCCAGCCAATAAACTCACCCATCATCATCATCATCATCATCATCATCATCATCATCTCCGCATCTCATCTTAGACCCCGCTCCCACACAATCCGCAAATACATAGCCCGAGACGGCGTCAAATGCGCTGCTCGCGTCGATCTGTTGTTGGTCTCCGCGGGGCTCGGCCATTCATTCCTCCGGGCGGCTGGGCTTAAAGTGGCCCGGCCGGGCGGACCTTGACGACTATTACACATAGTTAACCGGGCCCTAGAGGCTTAGTAAGCTACCGCTCAACCTGCATCTTACGAGGGCCCGCCAGCTCAATGTAATCCGCCATCTCAACGTTACTGCCTGCCTATACCCATGACATTCAGCTAATTTTTCAACGAATTGCTCTATATTTTATATATACAAGTAGATTATAGTGTAAATGAATTATCTCTGAGATTTCCTAGTAAATTTGGTGGCATTCACATAAATGCCTTTATCTCTGCAATACCTCTTAAGTTCCTTCATAACCCTCTTCCATTTTGGCCGCAATTTCTCCAATGCCTCCTCCATATCAACCTTCTTATTAATTGCCGTCATTTTGCGGCAGTAGCTTGCGGATATGACACCTCCCTTAATAACCACCCTCTGCATGCCGTGGAGGCGGTGTTCTCGAGCCAGTGTGGCAGCAGAGGTTTGAGCTAGCTCCTCCTGCAAAAGAGCTACTGTATTGGCCATTGCAATACTACCCTTATAAAGTTTTTGTAACCCAATATAAATATAGTCCGCGTCATAGTTGTCATCCTCCTCCAAAGCCTCCAGTTTCCACTTATATTGATTGAATTGGTGTATGGTGGAAGGAGTATACCAGGTCTCTGAGTCAGTGGAAACAGACCCCTCAGATTCCATAGGAGTTGATTCAAACTCATGTAATTTATTAAGGACAACTGATGGATTGAATGGAACCAGGCCAGTTGCTTTCCATCATTGCTTGATTGTATGAACCTTGAACATTGCTTTCCAAATAGAGGTGATAGCATGAAGAAATTGTGCTTGTCACAAAAAGTCATAAATTCGTGGGTGCAATGGGAATCAAATCCATCTAATAGAAGCAGACGGTGGGTTTCTTTGATGCAGGCTTTGATGGAGTGATGAAAGTGCTGAATCCATTGAAAAGAGATCTGATCATTATTATAGCCAGTGTCAGATGTAGCTATCATGGCATTCTTCTCTATTTCATCTGTCCACCACTCTTGTAGCTGCTTTGCAGTGAGAATATATAAAGAAGGGATAGTAAAGCCATTGATTGCAATTCCTTCAATGATTGTAAGAGTTTCCCTGTTATTTGAACTGCCAACATAGGTTCTCCTCTGAGGATCTTGCATTATAATCCACTGATCACGGCTGATTCCTATTCTGAACCCTGTTTCATCAAAGTTGTAGACATCACAGTCCTGGATCCCATGCTTCTCTTTTATCTCCTTAAAGCAGTTAAACCAATCAAGAATGAATGAAAATTGGTGAGCCTGTTTCCGCAGTATATCAATGGTCTTTTGCTTGCGTACATTATACTCTGGATGACATTGAAGGAATCTTTTGACCCAGTGCTCTCCAAGCCCGGGTGGAGGTGTGGTGAGATTGGTATGACTCTGCGCAAGTAGAAATTTGGCAGCACCAAAGATCATTGAATGATTGGGAGGTAGGCCTAGCTTATCTAGAGATTCTATATAGAAACAGAGTGATTTTTCCTGGCCAGATGATAATAGTCGATTAGCAGGGGTTCATTCAATTTGAGAGACGCGACCATTATAACGATTCAGCAGCCGGGAGTAGGGAACTTCAAATTTTCACGCCAATGCTTTAATATTGGGATTTTCAACATCAGATATTGAAGATAATGCATCTGCGATCTTATTCTCTATTAAAATATATGTAGAAGACACCACGTTGGGTGGTTATTGCATATTAAGAACAGGGATTTACAAAAATAATCATATTTTGAAAATAATCGCGTTGAGATGGCGGATTACGTTGAGCTGGCGGGCCCTCGTAAGATGCAGGTGAGCGGTAGCTTACTAAGCCTCTAGGGCCCGGTTATGGAATAGCGGGTGGTTGGTGCCGAGCATGGCGCCCAACCGCTAGCCAGGTTCGGTCTAGTAGCCCGCGCGAGGCTTTTGTGGTTCATAGATCTTGTTGTCGCCAATAGTTGGACAAGTGGGAGAGAGATATGTTGTTTTGAGACGTTGTTATGCGTATTGGGGGGACGGGGGGTTGAACGGGCGCATTGCATTGGATGTGGCATTGTCATCTTGGTTTCATGATGTTTTATCTCTCTTTGTCTCTTCTTCGTTAATGCTATTTTTGTTGGTTTGGGTTCCTCTGGGCTTGCATTTGACAATCTATAACTATATAACTATATATATATGTATATATACATTGATATATATTGAGTAGATGCACGTATATTTTCATGAAAGAGAGCAATCAAACCTGACATAAAATCGATATTATTCTCTTTTATCGCATCAGTCAGTTTAATTATACAACTGACATGCACATTTTAAAATACATATAAACTCAAGTCAATGAGACTGGTCGGCTTCTTGATTTTGCACTCTGCTGAGCGCAGTTTAATCTTCAAAGCGTGCTCCTGCTCCAAATCATACACAAATGTCTGATACTAAACTTCAAAATAGACATTAGTAAGTGATTGCAAAACAAAATATACCTTGTATATCCACTGCTGTCTATTATTCGATCCCAACAGATGAGTATGTATTCCGTGGTCACTCGAGTGCCGGCTACCAAATCCTCAACACCAGGAACCATCAGCCTAAAAAAAAAACTTCGCGATTAAAAACACAACGTTGCCCTGTCAGATCATTCTCCCTGAAAGAACAGGCACATGGAAATACCCGAAACCTCATAGATCGGTGGATCTTGAAAAAAAAAAAAAAAAGCATAAACACAGCAAGCATATCCATGGAACGCGCCGGATAGGCCAGTGTGAAACGGCAGGTGTGGATGGCCAGACATTTTCTGAATTATAGGTATTACATAGCTTTACGAATGTAGATAGTTGGTGAGCATCTAGTTCTGTTCCATTTATTATCTTTATCTGCAGTGGAATTGTTTTGGAGTTGGGAAAATACTTTTGATTGACTGCGGAGGAAGAAAGCCTAGGGTTCGTTCAATTTTGAAGCATGCTTCGTTTGAGGAGATCCTCTCCTTCCCCCCCCATCTCTTCTTCAGGTTTATTTCTCTCGAAAGAACTAACGAAAATCTTAACAAGAAGCTGAATAGCAGTCACATTAAAGATTTCTGATTTATTTCCGTATGTAAATTTCCTGTTGTGCATGCGATAATCTCATGGCAGTTTCCACTTGGTCGGCAGAGTTCAGGTGTTCCATCAGCAGCATGATGGCCCCCGAAACACTCTTTTTTGAGTCTCCACGAGCGCATCGCATTTATGACAGGTCAAAAAATTGCATTTCAAACATGTAGCTTCCATTTCTAAATGAAATAAATAGCAGAATAGTAAACAGAATAAAATGGGAAACAGTATTTTGCAGCGTTGAGTAAAAGTGAGTGTTGTTTGAGCTGGTTGGTTGGCTTCGGTTGTGCAAATTTAGCGGGAGGGCCTTGCTGCCCTCCCTCTTCGGATCTGGTTATTTATACGAGGAAAACATACAAATCCAAATTAATGGAAAGGAGGGGGTTTAATAAAACAAATAACATGGCAATCGATTCTGTGAGCAGTGGAGAATCAGATGATTACAATAAGAAGGCTTGAGTCCGTGGCGTGGTTGAAAGATCAGAGATTGCAGTTTTGCTGTCTGGTTACGAGCGAAGTAAGTGATATCGTGATCCTGGGGGAAAGTGATGGTAAATGCAAAATATGCAAATCAGACAGAACTGGATATCCCAGGCATTCTAGAGATGCTATAGATAATTTCCCTTTCTTAATCATTTCCCCTCTTCAAGATCTTTGCGATGAAGTTGGTGTGGTTTGGTTGGGAGATCATGAGTTGTTGGACTGATCCGTGATCTAGCCAAAAAGCCAGGATGTATTTGACAATGTTCTTTAGTGATGCAGCCACAACGGTAGGTGTTTGAAGGGTGAAAATATAAAAATACGATGGAGATAGGTGTAGATATTAGCATGAACCAGTAAATAAGATAGAACTACTCGTGGGTTGAGAAAGATCAGAGGTGAAGTAATTTCAACAGATGATTGGAGGGGTTGGTTGGTTTTTGGTGATGCGCAGAGGTAAGATTGAGACTGTGGGGAAGGTTTGTGGTAGATCAACCAGCTTCCACGACTGAAAGCGAACAGCTACTGTTTTCCTTTGTCGAATGGCAAGGAATGTATCGAAGAATGGAAAATGGGAAGGGATAGACTATTAAATAACCTTGACATGGAAGTTAAATAGACGGTCCTTTGTCCGTAGTGCTCTTCAGTGGTGAATATCCATCAAAGGGCCTGATCCTGCTCTTCGTAAACAGAGAGGATAATATATCTCATGGAAATGTAAAAGAGAA